TTTCGAGGATGTCCCAAAAGGGAATGCTCACACACACACACACACATGCTACAACATCGACGAATACCGTTACGAGAAGAAGCAGAAGAAAACCTCGAAAAGAAGACCCAAAAAAAAAACGGAAGAAAATAAAGGAAAACGCAAAGGAATGGCAAACCCAAAACTGACACCAAAAGCGGCTAACCCTTTATCGCACATAGGGTTTCCTTACAGGACCGCATATTTAGGTTTCAGTTATGGGGTCTCACTCTACCTCATACCTCCAGACGCTTTCTCTTTCTCCCCCACTCCATTGGCCGTCTCTTTCCCTTGGCTTTCTCGCTCGCTCGCTGGACACACCAACACTGAGACATATGTACATAGTTTTGGGTTACCCAAAATCGACGTGATGTTATATTATATGGAAACACAATTTGCTCAATGGTCTGCTGTTGCCTGCTGCTTTTGCTTCGGCTAGCGTCTCTGCCGCCGTCAGCGTCACTGTCGCAGCCGCAGTCGACGTACATAGAGCTCTGCCAACTTTAAGTAGCACTCGACATCGTGGGCGGTACCCCGATTTCTATATGTATCTTTCTGAAGGGGTTGTGGGGGTTGGGGCTTAGGGAGAGGGGGCCTTATCTAGAAGATGGAGTGAGGTGGTGTGGGGTGGGGCCAAGAAAGCCAAGGGGGGAAGGCCCCTGGCAGTGTCCCCTCCGATAGTTGTAGTTTTGCGGGCAGTAACTGCTGCCATTTTGTGTGACACAAAACTAAGACCCCGAACTATAAAATAGCATCCCAGCTGCCAGGATACTCCCAACAACAAAAAAAAAAGGATACTCCCGAATAAATAACTGAATAAGCCCAAAGCTAGACATGAGCCAAACAATGTAAACAAATTAAATTTAAAATAATATACTTAGCAGATAAAGCTAAATGGAATCTGAAGTTGTGCACTTGCCTTAGAAAAAGTGACATTTTTAAACAAAAAGTTTGGTTTAGCTAACGACTTTAGCGGATTTTAAATGGGTTATAAAATAGGAAAGCAAAAAACTACTCACAACTTAAACTAGACTATTTAGAAGCACAAAAAAGCTATTGTTTTAGAAAATAAAACTAAAGAAGTCTTAGTCTATGTAAGAAGTTTGACTAGGTTGCTAGGAGCTCGTTTTTGAGAGGTATCAGGAAGGACCTCTTCCCTGGAAACTATTCTAGGAACTATAATACATGTTATATTCTATAAAACTAAAAAATAGATATTATTATATAATTTCTAAGAATAGTGTCTTTTTCATGGTTTGTATATATTATTAATTTTTTGTATGCAACTCCTGCACATCTCCAGCCCAACCAACCAAAGGGTCGTGCCGAATATCGTACGGCTCGAGTCGCGGTTATTGAACCGAGGGTTTATGAAGAATAGTACCTTCTAACGTTTCTTCTTTATTAACTCGAATGTTTATATCTCTTGAAAAATTAATTTATAATATTAATTAATAATTCTATAAGAAAATGTAAGCCCCGAAAAATCATACCATTAGAGCCCCAAATGAAGAAGTTTTTAAATCACGAACCAGCTTCTTTCTCATTCATAAATTAACTTAGGACTGTTCAAAAAATCGTTTTGGTTTTAAATATAGCATAGGGCAATGAAAAAAAAACACACTTTGAAATAAAGCATTTTTCAATAGTTTTAATAAAAGCTTAATAAACTTAATATACAAAAAAGAAAATCCAATGTGATAACTTTTGAGTTTTCTATAAAAATTTCTCTTTTATTTGTTTATAGAAAACTAGAAAGATTCTACAGAAAGATTCTTATTTTCCAATTCCAATTCCAATATTTAAAGACTTTTTTTTTTAATAAAAATATGTTTTTAAAATATATTTTTTTAAGGGCATTAAAATTTTTAATGAAACATACTCCCATCAATTGAGATATTTAATAAAGAACAGACCTAAAGACCGATTATATAAAAGTATACCTCAAGTAATCTCTTTTTTTTTAATGTATATTTAAAATAAAAATCCTATTAACTTAAAAGTAAGCTCAAATTTCAATAAGAGAACCTCTTAAAGCGTAAAGCAAAAAGCCACTTCATTATCCTGCAGGATTCTCAATCCTTCTTGGAGTGCCTCGCATAATTAATGTGAAACTTGAGCCATTTCTAAAGGCTCTTCTTTGCCAGACAATGGCCCCTCAAGGAAACTTGCCTTCTCAATGACATCCTACATAGCCCTATTGCAGTACATATATAAAGAAGTGCATGCCCCCCTCCATCATTTATTGCAATATCCCCCCTTATTTTCTGAAATTGTTTTTTTCTGTTGGCTTTGTTTTGACGGTTGAGGAAAAGTTTTCATCAAAAAAGATGCCAGACGGGTAGCTTCTAAGATGATGCCTGACAACTTGTGACTTTTGCTTGTTTGACCCAGTTTTCCACGTGTATTGTACCGATATCCCATCTCCGGTATATATGTACACTATATATGCAGGGGGGTAGTCACTCAAATGGAAATGGAAATTGTCATACGGCCATGCCAATCAAGTAATACATTTCATGGAAAATTCACAGCACTTGCTAGGTCTTGAGACTAAAATAATGTCTCCCGATGACAGGGGCGTGGGAAGAATATCTAGAAAAGGGGGGCGGGGGAGCAGCCAGTGGGACAGTGGCATTCCAAAAGGGGGGAGGGGAGGCCAGGGTAACCCGGAGGTTTGGTTCCTTTGGTTGGTTCGTTGGTGTCACATTTTCGGTAAAATTTTGGTTTGCAAACTTTGGCAAAACTTGGCCAAGTATTTAGCCTCAAGTGTGTTGAAACGAGACGGAAACAGGCCAGCCAGCCACTTGAGAGAGACAGCTAGCTGCTATATATGCATCCAGAGTGAAAGGGACAGAGATAGCGAGAGGAAGCGGGAGCGGGAGTAGAAGCGAGAAGGCGAGTAAGAACATGTGAGTGTGTTGTGGTCGGTCTTGGAGAAATCTCTCGGTCTCAGTGTCTCGGCTTCAGAGTCTTGGCGTTTTCTTAAGCAGCCACTGTTGGCCATTTCTCCCTGGCTTGGAAGAACACTGAAAATAATAAGAGTTACTTGCTGGGGACTTATGATATTGAAACTATATACTAACTAAATTGTTACTAAAACAAGATAGGCTTTAAAAAGCATGATTTCTATAGTTGTGCCTATTGGCTTCAATAAGCTTTGGCTTATATATTTTTCCTAATTCAAACCTAATAATTATATTCAATTATTATATTTTATATTCTTTGTATGTTACTTCGTTTTATATTTGTAACTAAGAATTTTGTCTAAATATTAAAAAAAAGGGTTGAAACTTAACATTTAGAGTTCTTAGTCAAATATTTGAAAACTTCCCAATAATTGTTTAATTTTTTTGGCTTTAATTTATCAAATCTATAAGTAGCCTTTACAGTAACCTTTTTAATACTATATTACAAAATTAAGTGAGTTTTTTTAAACTAAAATTAAAAAAACAAATATTTTCGAACATTTTTAATCTCGAAACCTATAGATGTAACATAACCTACACGGCGTATACTTGATATATTTTGGTTTCCGTGCACCTTGCTTCTTTCAAGCCATTTTGCTTTCTGTATCTATGTCTCTGTCTTGGCCTCTGTCTTGGTTATCCTGGCCGCAGTCAGCGTCTCGTCCTGGCGTCTACGTCTGCATTCGAAGGAGTCAGAATTTGGCAAAAGGAACAGGACTCTAGGAGGCCGAGTGCAGTGGCAATGGCAGTAGCAGTAGCAGTGGCAGTGGCATGGCGATGCGATGCCCGCAACTGTGGGCTGCCACTTGATGGCGGACTTGGCCACACCGAACTTGGCCCAAAGCGAGTGCGAGCCAGACAGAGACACAATGTGTGTGAGAAAGAGAGGAGTGATCAGAGGGATGGGGGCAAATGGGGATAATTTTAATGAATTTATTTAGAAGTTTGTCTTGGGGCAGGTGGCTGCCGTTCTTATTGGACACACAGGCACATACAAAGGATGCCGCCCCAGTCCCCCCTCTCTCAAGGACCTTTATATAAGCAGCAATGGCTGCCGTTATAAGGGGGTGGGGAAGGAGGCTTGGCGGCGGGGATCCTGGCCAATGTTGTTGTTTTCCCGGCAACCAAAATGTGCGGCAGCATTTTTGGTCTTGCACAGTGGGCTATATGTGGTCAAGACAAGGCTTTGTCTTGGCCCGCTTTTCCTCTCTCTCTCGATTTCTAGCCTTTTGTTTTTCGGTTTTTTGGCCAGCCAGATTTTCGGGTTATTGGTCTTGGCATTGCACTCAAGCCGAGGGGTTTATGAACTGTCTGGCCAGCCAGCTACCTAGCGGGAATGGTATTGGAGTCAACTCATATGATTGGATGTGTTTTAATGGAAATTATAAAAAAATCATAAATATTAAACTATACTAAGGCCTCTAAGGCTTTAGTTTAAAAAGCTTAAAGTATATTCATTCAAGCTAGTGTTACAAAGATGAGTTTGAGTGGGCCTTACAATTGCAGTGATCCAGTGTTGCAAAAGCTTACGATTCTCAACTTACTTTCCAACTATGTAGCTTTCCTTTTCTGATCTTTCATTGAATTTATGTCGCTGTGATTTCCTTATTATTGTTAATTTAATTTTTTATTTTATTACGATTTTCTCATTTCCTTATTATACCCTTGCAGAGAAGAAGACATCTCCGACCCTATATATATAGTATATATATATATAGTATATATATTCTTGAGTATATAAAAAAAAGTATATATATTCTTCACCTCCTGAGTTGATATGAGCATGTCCGAAATTTTGTTCTTTCCTTGGGCCTCTGTTTACTTAATTTATTTTAATATTATTGTTTTTTTTTTTTAAATAAAACCTCAACTTACAATCAAAACATGCTATTTGTGGTATATATCTTATAATAAAATGTTTAATTAAACTTTAAAATTAATGCTTTTTAATATTTTGAAGCCAACGTTGTTCTTTAAAATAATATCCTTTAAAAAAACTTGAATTTTTTGTAGGATTTGCACATCATCTGGTGGGGATGCACAGCCATCTGCACGCCCCCGACTGGCGCGCCCACATGGCCTTGCGTGGGCGGCCGGCAGGATTTCCCGCAGGACCTTTTTTCGGCCATCATGCGGCGGCCGCAGCGGCGGCTTTTCCCACGGCCAGCAGTCTGCGTGGATTGAGTGGTTGGTGTTCCTAAAGCCCTAACTATTATTTATTTTTTTAAGACTATTACTTATATTATTATTATCCTTTTGCAGGAGCCGATAATCAGCAACAGCAGGCGCATCAGCAGCAGCAGCAACAGCAGCAGCAGCAACTGGCCCACAGCACCACGAGTCCCGAAGGATCACCCACCACCACCACAACCACCAGCGGCCACACCCAGCTGAGTGCTTTCGTCCAGCCACCCATCGGATGCTCCTCGCCGGTGCTGGCTCCCTTGACCAGTTTGCAGGATAATGACAACAACAACAACACCAACAATAATAGCAACATTGATGCAGGATTCGAGAGCGATAGCATTTCGGTGACAGGATCACCGCGAAAGTCCCTGGGCTCGCCTCTGACTCACGACGAGGAGGAAACCGATTCCATATCCCGCGAAGAGAATACGAATCATAACAATGGAATAGGAGGATCTCTCGGAGAGAGCTCGCCGGGATCGGGCGGAGCCTTTACGGCCCTCATCCAGAGGAGTAAGAATCCGACGGACTTGTTTGGTGGCTTTGCCGGGACTGGGAGCGGAAACCATTTCCCGCCAGCGCACAGCTTCAATCCCGCCCTAGCCGCCCAGCTCTTCCTGCAGAGTCCCCTGCTCCCGCAGTCCAGCCAGTGGCTGTACAGCCAGCTCTACGGCAGCTACAGTGATCTGCCCTGGCTGAGGAACGCCGCGGCTGCTGCAGCAGCCTCCAATCTTAACCCGAACACCACCCCCACGCCCGAGGGTGTGCCACCAACGAGCCAGGATCACGACGGGGTGAACCTCATTAAGCGCTGCGTGACCCTGATAACCCACAATCCCCCCGATGCCGAGAACGCCAACCCGAACGCCTCGCCGCCCGTCAGCTCCAGCCGGCGGTCGCCGTCGCCCGTAGAAACCATCGATCTGGACGATGTAAGCACCACCTCAAGGTCGGCTAGTGGGGCGTCCAGCGGCGAGGCAATCGGTGGCGCCGGAGGAGGACTAGCAGGGGGCGGAGCAGCAACAGCAGCAGTATCCGGGGTAGGACCCATCCGGAACAGGACTCCCAAGCCATCGGCGGATGTTTGGCGACCATACTAGCGGCTGGCGGCCGCCTTGCTCGGGGCAGGGGCTGGAGTGGGAGTGGGAGCGTGGTCTGACCCAGGGGTTGGGTCTGGGAGTGGGGGTGGCTATAGTACACCCCAAGAACAACAACAACAACAACAGCAGCAGCAGCAGTAGGTGTTGTGAATAAATAGTCGCCATATCGCAGCTGGCCAAGATTGCTTCACAAGGTTATTTTCTTTTTTTTGAATTTTTTAACACAATTAACCCGAGAAAATAATCAATTCCTAGGCACAAGCCTTTCAGTCTTATTAACCAAAGACTAACTCTAAATAGTTACAACTTTGGTAATTCTTTTTTCATTTTGAAATATTAGAACTTCTTCGGGTTCAGCACTTATTTTCAAAAATTGTTAAATACAAATTATACACTTTTTGGGAAATTGTGTGAGTTAACATCATGTTCCTTAAATATTCTATCACAAATATTATATTAAGAATATTCGATTTTAGATCTTGATCTTGAGTCTGGGATCATGATCAGAAAATTATTGGATCTCTTCTAAGAAACGTATAACAAACGGACTGGATCACTTCTATTCTTTTGTTTTCACAAGAAACTTGGCTATATTAATATTTATAAGAAAGACTCACCACAATAATTTAATAAAAATTCCAAATCAAAATTGCAAGTCTATTAAAAACAATGCCAAATAAAGGATAATTAATGATCCTCAAAAATTTTAAACATTATTTTGAACAAAACAGTGCAATATTTGTTAAACTTGTTTGTAAAAACCTAAAATTAAGTTTTCCATCAAAAAAGTAATAAGAGTAACTCCTAGAGTAAGAGTAAAGCCACCTTGTGAAGCAATCTTTGGAATGTCTAATTTTTTGTGTGTTTCTATTTTTTTTTAGTTATTTTTGTGGTAAACCTTAAAGTAAGCGGCTCACATATCGAATTTAAATCAATTAGCAAGGCCCTAAGAATCTTATAAATAAATAGTTCAAGGCGGGGGCCTCTCACATACTATATATACAAAAAGATATATACAAATCGAAATATAACTAGAAATATAGACACCAGATCTGTGTACATTGAAGATATATTGCTCTGCATATTTGCCCCTCCTAAAAAAAAGAGAATAAAATCTATAACAAGAATTACAATTAGATGTTTAGGAAATAAGAAAACAAATCAAGGTTTTTTTTTTGCAAACATAAAATGAAATACAACTAATGATAAAGCATATTTTAAAATTTATTAAAAATAAATTTAAGAAGAATACACCGAAAGTCAGATGATTTGTATATAAAGGTACTTTGAAGTAGTGTGCCAAACCTTAAAAAAACCAAAAAAAAACAAAATTCGTTAATAAAAATTTCAAATTAAAAATTAAACTTATGGATTATTAATATTAGAGACTTTTAGTTAATTTTTTTTTGTTAATAAATTTTTCATAGATGTAGATCAGTAATGTTAGCTTAACTTTTCTTTAAAGTTTTATATTTTTGTTGAGGTGCTTTGAGAAAAAAATGTAGAAGCCGCAGAAAATAAAAGGGGAGTTATGGTGTCTATGGTGGGGACTTGGATAATCAGCGCCGCCAAGAAAAGCTTTTAAGAAAATTAATTCGCCACCCCCTTGCCTCCAACAAATACAAAAAAAAAGGGGTTAACAAAATCTGGGAAAAAAGCAAAAGCAAAGGCTGGCAAGCGAAAGAGGAGAATTAAATTTATTACCGAGCTGAAGTCTTTTTGGCGCAAACAGGGAAATCTCCGAATAGCCGAATAAAAAGTTTAAATAAATGGTCAAACTTGAAAGCGGAAAAAAGTGGCAAAAGGGTCGCCAAAGTCTAAAGGGGCCAAAAGACTTTCAACTTGTGATGTGTTCCACGACGGGCCTCGAGCTTATTTCGGTCCTCTACCAGCGAATAATGAATGAGTTTTCCTCAGTCTCATATTAAATGAGCTTTGGCTTCTATCCAAGAATGAAAATATATCTGTTCTTCTTCTTTTTTGGATTTTCCTATATCATTCTTTTTTTGCATTTTTCAATTCCCAAAGCCTAATGAAGCATAGAAACAATTAGCGAATGGCTTCTAAGACAACACAGAAGTGAAATATACGGGGATTATCCTTTACCGAGCCCAAGGGCTTAATGTAATCGTTTGTCTTTAGCAGGGGATTAATTATTCTTACACTTATTCTTATTTCAAGGGAAAGTTTTTCCCACCGAACTCTTTTCTGTTTTTTAAGCCACTTAGGAGGCAATGAAAAATGCTCAAGATAAGGGCCTTTGATGGGTGATTTAAATTAAAGAAATATAATAGATACTTTCGGTTCTGGGAGTTATAAGATTTGAGTTTGACTTTAAATATTTATTTCTTATCCCAGCAAGGTGTCTGATGTGATTAATTTCTTGCAAGTCTTATTTTGAATATATGTATATTTCCACCGGCCTGGGATGAATGAAAAGCATTTGTCAACTTCTCTGCCACATCCCCGAAAATCCCAGCCATATGTGACAGCCCCAAACAACCCCGACCCTGGAGGAAACCCCTTTTTATACACGCGTTAAGGAAAAGGTTTATCTAGTGTGTGCTCGAAAATCAGAAACAAATGACAGAAAATTAACTCTGCCTTATGAGTTGGAACTGACAAATCGTCAGGAGCAACCAGATCCTTTGCTAACCCTGTCCTGAAAAGGACACAAAGCAAAATTAACATACTACACACTTTTGGCCTTAAAATAAAAAAAAAAAACAGACATACTATATAGAGAAAAAGACGGAAAAGAAATTAAAAATGAATAACCTGTAACGAAGGCAAGTTATCCTTGGTTATCCTTCGAGGGTTGATTTTTGTTATCAACCTTGTCTCGTGTCACCTTTTTTTGTTTTGAGGGCAGGCATGTCCTTGGTAGTCAGCCCTGGCCGGACAATGGCCCTTAATGTCTCAGCTGCCTTTTGATTTTCTTTGTCTGCTTGGATGGTTATGGGTATAAGGATACATAGGATATGCAATCATTAATTTTAACTAGTTTTAGGAAAGTTTTCTTTAGTGAAAATATCTAAAAGTTTTGAACCTTAACAGGGGATTTATTAATTTCAACAAGCCCTATTTTTATTTCGTTTAAGTTATTTTTCTTTTAAACCTTAATCGTAGTTTTTTCCATTTCTTTTTTTGGTTTTTTTTCTCTTCCTCAGAAATGACAGAAATCAGACTTGAAATTCTAAAGCTGCCTTCCAATTTGGTCTGTCATAAAATGGACTTGGGGGGGGAATGGAAGCTAAGGATCCTGTCTGAAGACGTTGTCCTGGCTACCCTGAATGTTTTCTGCCTCAAATAATGACTGGCATTTGATGGCGACGAATCCGGAGGAGGTGACTGAAGCTGAATTCCTGTTCAGGAGAGTGAGTGGGCAATCTTAAGAAATGGCAACGACACAACCTAATAAACAGTTGCCCAGGACGACCAGCGGTTGACATTGGCCAGCTTTTTAAATTTTTCCACTAAAAAAAAAAAGAAAAAAACAACAAATCAATTCAAGATTTAAATCACTGTTTTATGATTATGGGATACAAATGAAATAAATCTTAAAATACTTGTTTGTTTTTAAGTCAGTTTTCTCTGAAATATTTTTAAAACAATAACCCTACTATTACTTTCATGAAATTTCTTTCAGTTTCCTAATTTGTGGCAGCTTGTTGGCAACAAAGGACGAAAAGGACTTCATATCGTGTGTTTTGAGGTTGAACAGGTTCGAAATTAAAGCAGCTGTCCTGGCTGAAATTTCCACCCAAGCGTTAAATAGAAAATTTTATGTCCTGGCAACACTCACTCACCCACAATTGTCCACCCAAAACGAGACAGACTCTAATGCAAGAAAAGAGATAGCCATAGATACACACACATACACACACATATCCCATGTACATGGTCGAGAATGTCTATTTGTGCATCTTTGAGTCGCGTTTTCATTTCAATAAGTGGGCTTTCAATTAACATGTTTCCAACCCTCGAGCAATTTGACTTTATGTCATTATCAAGCGCCAAAAACTTAAGGCATGATGGCAGAATTTGCCGCTCGTTGCTAATTATGCCATCATTAGGAAGGCCCAGGCACAGGCACACACATCCCAATGCGTATGTGTGCAATAAATTTAAGTGTCATCTCACCAACACCAACACCGATTGGGAATGGCGCCCCCAACTTCCCCTTTTTCCGGTTGGCATCATGTGACTTCAGTTTATTGCAAATTGTTGCTCAGGACCTGGGAATGGGAATATGGGGATAGGAATGAAAATGGAAATGGGCATGGGCCTGTTTATTATGACGCCTGTGACAGGCGAAACACAAACACACGTTAAGGCATTACTACACAGCGAAAAAAACAAAGATTAAGATTGGCAAATGGTCTGTTTAGAACTCAAACAAACAAAACAGGAAAATTTATTTTTCCATCTTTATTTTCTCGAAAAACTTAAGCATATCTATAATTTTCATATTATTTTACATCATTATTATATATACATATAATTTGTACAGTGCTCTCGCACATTAAAATGTCTCTTACATTTCAGAGGCATCTCCTTTCGGCAATTGCCATCAAATCACTTGCAGTGCTAATTGCAATGCTTATTATTAATAAATTGCTTGATTGTTGCAGTCATCGCATTCCACTGATTGGAAAATTGTGGAGATGGAAGCCTGCCAGGAATGGGAAATGCAAAGGTAAGAACATTTTAAATATGAAATGTGTCTTTGAAGTGCGACAATAATCGAGGATAATCGGATATTATAGCGGATAAAGTCTGCATTGGATAGCCTTGGATAAATTTCGGTAGGCATTGAAATTGCATTGATTTAAACTTAAACCAGTGTTGGAAAAGCAGAAGAATCCCCATTTTTTAACACTCAAACTAGTGTTATATAAAGTATATTAAGTACAGCCTACTTATTTAAAATTTTTTAAATAACACTAGTATAGATACACTGAGAGTATAAATTGGAAAATATTTGGTATACAAGGTGGTTCTGTTTCATTTAGAATCAGTTGCTTAATTCTGATCGGCCAACTATATCCGATGTTTGCGATATATATCCGGTTTTAACTTCAAGGGTATATCAACTTCGGCTCCGCCCGAAGTTTGCTTTCCTTTCTTGTTTTATTTGACTTTCCAATATTTTTATTGATTATTTTAAAATGTATTATTTTTTTAAATAAATATAAAATTTAAATATAAATATTTAAATATATTTAACGGAAGAAAATCTTGTTGTCTTTAGGTAATATGGACTCTACTCCCCAGGTGCCGCGATCGTCATCAGAAAACCATTGATGACTATTTAGTTAAAATTAGTTTGTACTGGAATTTATCAGAACGAGAAGGAAAAGTAAATAGATGATCCATTTTAATTCGAAATTAATTAATAAAAAATAAGAAAATCAGGATGCCGAATGCGCTAGGAAAGTTCTATAAGAGGCATGTCTCAATCGAAAAAAATAAAAAAATAAAATAATAAATATAAGTTAACCCAAAAAAAGAATTTTTGGCTTCGGAAGTGGCCAGCTTCTTATAACAAAAAAATTGCATTTTAAAATATATAATTAAAAAAGTTGATTTTGAAATAAAAGAATAAACAATTGAAGTATTGCAGGCCATCCACCCAACAAAAATAAA